TATATATATATATATATATATATATATATATATATATATATATATATATATATATATATATATATTAATGTCTGAGCAGCTTGCTGCTTGCATGCAAGCCCCAGGAAAAGATTCGAAGTTTTTGAAAAGTTGAATTTTCTGCTGCAGCAATGACTGTCGGAAGCAGCAAGATCGGAAGTGTTGCGAGTTTGCTGCTGGGGTTTATTAAAGGCCTTTCAGCAGCAAATCCCACTCAAACAAACTCTTCAAACTTTTCAAATTGCTGCACCCAGCCGCTTACTTGGGAAGCGCGCTGCAGCGCAGCGCAGCAGCAGCAGCAGCAGCAGCAGCAGCTTCCCACGCATGCAGCAGCAGCTTCCGACGCACGCAGCAGCAGGGCTGACACCCTGCAAGTGACTCTTTTGCTTAGCGCCACCTGCTAAGGAAGCTGCTGCAGCTGCTGCAGCTGCTGCTGCAGCTGCTGCAGCTGCTGCTGCAGCTGCTGCAGCAGCTGCTGCAGTTGCTGTGGTCGTTGTTGCAGCTCCTGCAGTTGCTGCTGCAGCTGTTTTAGTCGCTGCTGCAGCTGTTTTAGTCGCTGCTGCAGCTGTTTTAGTCGCTGCTGCAGGTGCTGCAGTTGCTGCTGCAGTTGCTGCTGCAGCTGCTGCAGCAGCAGCAAAGTCCTACTGCCTCCTTTTGGCTCTTTCTAAAGTGTTTCTGTGAGTTGCTGCTGCAGGCGATGCAGCTGCTGCTGCAGCTGCTGCAGCAGCTGCTGCAGCAGCAGCAGCAGCAAAGTTCTACTGCCTCCTTTTAGCTCTTTCTAAAGTGTTTCTGTGTTCACTCATTCCAGTCTTGAAGACAGAAGCTGCTTCGGACTGGTCATCGCGAATGAACAGCAAAGAAGTGAACTCGGGACACAGCAGCAGCAGCTGCTTTGCTGCTGCCAGCTCCTGCTGCTGCCGCCCCTTCTCACCCCGCTGCTGCTGCTGCTGCTGCTGCTGCTGCTGCTGCTGCTGCTGCTCCTTTTGGGGAAGCAGGTTCTCTACAGACAATAAATCCCCCACAGTCCACCGCCACGCTGGCTGCTGCAGCGGCAGCAGCGAAGCTGCCTGCAGCACCCGCACCGCAAACTCTGCGGCTGTCAAGAACCTGCTGCTGCTGCTGCTGCTGCTGCTGCTGCTGCTGCTGCTGCTCATCCGCGATATAGCTTCGTCATACTCTGCATGCTCTCTAGATAGTGCTGCAAGCATTTCGTTTAGTTCCTCCAGAGCTTCAGCGCGACTTGGTTGTTCCTGCTGCTGCTGCTGCTGCTGCTGCTCCTTCTGCTGCTGCTTCTCCTGCTGCTGCTGCTGCTGCTGCTGCTGCAGCAGCTCTGGGGAGGCGAGATCGTCTCGAATTTCGCGCAGGCGCTGCTGCATCAGCTCGCATGCAGCAGCTCGAGAAGACAGCAGCAGCAGCTGCTGCGCTGCATCGCAGCCCCGAGAAAAGCCCAAACGCCGCAGCAACTCTGCTGCAGCAGAAAACAACTGAGAGACACGAGAAGACGAAAAACACAGATTCACCCCGTTGCTGCTGCTGCTGCTGCTGCTGCTGCTGCTGCTGCTGCTGCTGCTGTCTTCCGTTGCAGGAACGGCGACTGCGGAGCTGCTGCTGCTGCTGCTGCTGCTTGCGGCGCTGCTGCTGCTGCTGCTGCTGCTGCTGCTGCTGCTGCTTGCGGCGCAGGCCTGCAGCAAAGCGTCGGCCACCCTTTTGCGAACAGCAGCAGAACAGCGCATGCGTTTAGCAGCAACAAGAGAAAAGCGATCTGCTGCTAAGAAGTCTGCATAAGGCACTGCAGCAAGCCCGCCCGTGGGGTGTACAGACACCACGAAGCGCCGCTGCTGCTGCTGCAGCAGCACAGCCACTTCGTCGAACTGCTGCTGCCCCACAGCCCGCCGCAGCCACAGACCAGCAGCAGCAGCAAAAGACAAAGTTTGCAAATCTCTCTTTATAAACAACAAGTCCCCACTTTCCAAACTGCACTCTATAAAGTAGTCCGTCGACTGGCCCCACAACTTCCCATAAAAGGGGCCCCCCAAACCCACCCCGCCCTCCGCCGGGGGGCCCCCGGGGGGCCCCCCAGCAGCCCGGGGGCCCCCGGGGGCCCCCGGGGCCCCGGGGGCCCCCCGGGCCCCGGGGGCCCCGGGGGCCAAGGGGGCCCCGGGGGCCCCGGGGGCCCCCGGGGGCCCCTGGGGGTCACCTTCGAATTGCCTGCGAAGGGCTGGGAGGTCCCGGAGAAGAATGCGGCGCCTGCGGTATTCCCAGTAGCTGCTGTAGGCAGCAAGGGCCCCAAGTGCTGCTGCTGCTGCAATTCGCCCGCCCGTGCTGCTGCTGCTGCTGCTGCTGCTGCTGCTGCTGCCGCTGCTGCTGCTGCTGCTGCTGCTGGGCCTCTGTTCGGAGAAGCCGCGCAGCGCAAGGGAGTGACCGCCCGCATGCAGGCGGGCCAAGGGACGGAGGCCCTGCAGCGGCAGCTGATAGGCGCGGATCGCCATTGCTGCTGCTGCTGCTGCTGCTGCTGCTGCTGCTGCAGCGGCAGCGGCGGCTGGGGCTGTTGCTGCTGCTGCAGGTCAGCTGGGTCTCTATTAACTTAGTGGGATCTTTTTCATTCTTTTTTCTTTTGCAAATGTCCAGCTTTTGCCGCACACACTTATTCGAGGTGTATGTACACCCCAGCTGCAGCAGCAGCAGCAGCAGCAGCAGCAGCAGCAGCAGCCCGCGGCCGCCTGGGGCCCCCGAGAGGCCCCAGCCCTAGTTCCAGGGGCCCCAAATATTAAATTTAAAACATTAAAATCTTTTTTAAAATTAAAAAAGTTGAAAATTTAATTTAAATAATTATTCAAGAAGCCCCGTGCTGCAGCAGCGGGCCACTGCAGCCTAAACCACTTTGCGCGGGGCCCCACAGCAGCTTTGCTGCATGCGTTTTCATTTGCTTCGGCCTTCTGCTGCAGCAAAAGCCTCGAGGGTTTGCTGCTGAGGGTTTAGGGTTTAGGGTTTAGGGTTTAGGCCTTCGGCGCCCCCGCAAACCCCCGATTTGCTGCGCCTCAGGCGAATCCCAAGGCCTAGGGTTTAGCCCTGAGGGTTTTGCTGCTGCAGCACAATGGCTGCTGCTGCTCCAGTTCGAGTGGACTTGGCCAGCCTGTAAGTCCCTCTTTTAGGGTTTGGAGGCGGCCCTGGGGGGCCCCTGGTGCTGCCCCTTGAGCTGTCGGGGGCCCCTACTCACTTGCTGCTGCTGTGCTGCTGCTGCTGCTGCTGCTGCTGCTGCTGCTGCTGCTGCTGCAGGGGTCCCGGGCTGCCGGATTCTGTGGAAGAGCCCGACGGCCTCACCTACCATTTGCACCATCTCATTGCTACGGATCTGCAGCCTCTCGAGGTCTCCACAGAGTGAGGGTTTAGGGTTTAGGGTTTAGGGTTTAGGGTTTAGGGTTTGGGGTCAGGAGGCTGAAAACGAAGGCTTGAAACCGGGGTTTTGGCCCGTTTTTCGGGGAGAAGTGTCTAGACTTTGCATTTGGGACTTTAATGTCTTTTATTTTTGTTTTTTTTGCAAAGTCTCGAAGAAAAAACACAAAAAGCTGCTCAATTATTTGTGACGAAGTTATTTTCGCTGCCTCGGCACGTGTCGGAAGATGGGGTGTACGTACAGCTGCCGCCGCCGCCCAAGATCGACACTTTCCGCTTCCCGCGGACTCTCAAGGTGTTTAAAGCATTTAATTGAATTCTTTTTTCAAAATAATTAATTAAATTAATTAAATTAATTAATTTGTGGATTTAATTCGAACATTTGTCTTCAAATCCGGGCTTCAGCAGCAAAAGCTGCCTTCTGCTTCCTCCGCAAGTTCAAGTCCGCAGGGTTTAGGGTTTAGTCCGACTTTTCCCCCACCCCCCAGTTGAATCCTGACACGAACTCGCCGCCGCTGCTGCTGCTGCTGCTGCTGCTGCTGCTGCTGCTGCTGCTGCTGCTGCTGCTGCTGCTGCTGCTGCTGCTTAGCTGCCGACGGCGCGGCCGCTGACTCGGTGGGAAGCCTTTGCAAAAGCAAAAGGAATTGTGAAAAGAAAACGCTCGAGATTAATTTGGAGTGAAGATTTAAAAGATTGGATTCCCCGGTGGGGCCCCCGGGGCCCCCGAGCGGTGCAGCAGCAGCAGCAAGCAGTGCTGGAGGAGAAGGGGGCTGTGACTTTGCGCAGCAGGAGAGTCAGCATCAAGAAAGCTGCTGCTGCTGCTGCTGCTGCTGCTGCTGGGGGGGGCAAGAAGAGGAAGCGGCTCGCGGTGCCGGACGCTGCTGCTGCTGCTGCTGCTGCTGCAGCAGCAGCAGGCAACCAGGAGGACTTGTTCACTCAGGCCAAGAAGCAGCAGCAACTGGAAAAGGCCAAACAGAAACTCCGGGAACTTCGGAACCAGGCGGAAGCAAAAGCAGGAGTTGCAGCAACTCGCGGATTGCTGCAGACTGCAGCAGCAGCAGCAGCAGCAGCAGCAAGGGGGGCCCCCAGGGGGGCCCCCGCGGGGGCCCCCACCCTCCCCACTGGCATTCCGGTGCTGTCTTCGAAGAAGCACCGCGGCAAGTCCAAGCAGGAACTCAAGGAGCTGCTGCTCAGGTCCCAAACCCTAAACCCTAAACCCTAAACCCTAAACCCTAAACCCTAAACCCTAGGCCGGGCACCTCAAACTGCTGCAAATTTGAAACCCCAAGTCTCTAAAGATGTTTCCAAACCCTCGGAAGTTTCAATTAAAAACTTCAAATGAAATAAAATTGCAATTATGCATTTGTGGCAACTGCACGAAAATCCACTTTTGTTTTATTCATTTTTTGATCTTTTTCTTTCTTTCTTTCTCTTTTTTTTTTCTTTTTTTATTTTATTTTCAATTAAATGTCTTTTGTCTTTTATTTTATTTTCAATTAAATGTCTTTTGTCTTTTGTTTTATTTTCAATTAAATGTCTTTTGTCTTTTATTTTATTTTCAATTAAATGTTTTTTGTCTTTTATTTTATCTTCAACTAAATGTCTTTGTCTTTTATTTTATTTTCAATTAAATGTTTTTGTCTTTTATTTTATTTTCAATTAAATGTTTTTTGTCTTTTATTTTATCTTCAATTAAATGTCTTTTGTCTTTTATTTTATTTTCAATTAAATGTTTTTTGTCTTGTTTTATTTTCAACAGGGCCCAGATATCCACGGCCTCTCAGGGGCAGCACGAGAAGTTTGCTGCTGGCACATTGGGGGGCCCCACACTGCAGCAGCAAAAGAAGCAGAAGCCGCAGCAGCACTCTTCTGCTGCAGCAGAAGCAGCAGCATACAAGGAGCAGCTGCGGCTGCTGCTGGCCACCAAAGCAGCAAACAAGGAGCACGCGGGCGACTGACTGACGCGGCTGTTGCTGCTGCAGCAGCAGCGGCAGGTGCTGCTGCAGTTGCTGCTGCTGCTGCTGCTGCTGCTGCAGTTGGTCAAGATCTTATTTACTTTGGCAATTTAATTCTGTTTTCTTTCTTTGGACTCAAACAAATGCATAACGAAGCAAATGCAGTCGCGGCTACGGCGCGACGAATACTAAATGCTGCAGTTGTTGCTGCTTTGCTGCTGCTGCTGCTGCTGCTGCTGCTGCTGCTGTAGGACTTAGTGCATGCAACGCAATAGCGTACACTACTATAAAAAGACAATATCTTTAGTGTCTGCAGACGACGCTCCTGGAGGGCCCCCATCTGGGTGAGATTCCCTCTTGGGGGCCCCTGGGGGCCCCTGGGGGGCCCCTGGAGACCCCAGGGGGGCCCCCGAGGGCCCCCGGGGGGCCCCTGGAGACTCCAGGGGGGCCCCCGGGGGCCCCCCGGCCCCCGGGGGCCCCCCTGGGGCCCCTGAGGGCCCCTGGGGGGCCCCTGGGGGCCCCTCTGGCGGCGCTACTGCCGCAAAAGAGTCCCGAAAGCCCCTGAGGGGATCTACAGAGTCCCCTTGGGGGCCCCCAGAGTCTGTGGGGCCCTCCTCTGAACAAGAAGTGGGGATTGAGCGGGTCCAGAAAGATGCTTCTGCTTCTCCTATTTGCTGCTGCTGCTGCTGCTGCTGCTGCTGCTGCTGCTGGTGAATGGCGCTGTCCCAGAAGAGCCCCGCCCTTTGCTCCACAATCTCCAGAGTTTCTGCTGCTGAGGCTTCGGCAGCAACAGCAGCAGCTGCTGCTGCTGCTGCTGCTGCATCCTTGTCTCTCCGGGGCCTCGGCAGCCCCAGCAGCAAATCCAAAGCATCTTCTGTCCTGTCTCTAAATGGCTCTGTTTTGCTGCCAGGGGACAGCTGGGGGCCCCCCTTGGGGGCCCCCCTGGGGGGCCCCTTGAGGGGCCCCCTGGGGGGGTCCAAAATCTTTTTGTTTTTGTTTTCTAATGAGCAGACAGAAAGTGACAGTCGGTCGCTTTTACTTTTGCTGCTTCTGCTGCTGCTCTTGCTGCTCCTGCTGCTCCGGTTGCTGCTGCTGCTGCTCGGCCACTCGCTGCTGAGCCGGGCTTGCCTTGCTGCAACTGCAGCAGCAGCAGCAGCAAAGTCCGTGCACCTGACGGGAGAGGAACTGTGGCTTCTCGTTCCTGCAGCAGCAGCAGCTGCTGCTGCTGCTGCTGCACCTGGGGGTTCACAAGAAGCAACGCGGCGCCCTCTTGCAGTGTCTGTACACCTCAAGTTGCGGGGCAGCAGCAACGCAGGATCCGGTCTTCTTGTGTCTGTGTCTGCTGCTTCTGCATCCTCTGCCGTTTCTGCTCCGTTTGCTGCTGCTGCTGCTGCTGCTGCTGCTGCTCTGTGCTTCGGGACTTCGCCTTCGAAGCTAGAAGCAGCAGCCGGGGCAGCAGCAGGCGCTGCTGCTGCTGTCTCGGCTGCTGCGGCATCTGCTGCTGCGGCCTCTGCGCAGTCCGTTGATGCTGCTGCTGCTGCTGCTGCTGCTTCTTGCATCTTCTGCTGCTCAAGGGCTTCTTCAACAGCTGCTGCCAGCTCCAAAGAAACAGCAGCAGCTGACACAGCAGCTGCAGCAAACACAGCAGTTGCACACGCAGCACATTCAAGTGTACATACACCCTGCAGCCTGAGCTTGCGGCGCTGCAGCAACTTACGCCGAAGTTGCTGCTTCTGTGTGTCTTCGAGCAGCTGCTTCTGCTGCTGCTGCTGCTGCTGCTGCTGCTGCTCCGTTGTCCGGAGTCCTAGCTCATCCTCGGAGAGCAGGACTGCCTGCTGCTGCTGCCTGCTGCAGCCGCTGTCGCCGCTGCTGGTGTCGCTGCTGCTGCTGCTGTCGCTGCTGCTGCAGCAGGCCTGGAGGTCCTCCAAGTCGAAGCCGTCAGAGACGCAAAGCTCTGCGTCATCGTGCATGCAGCAGCAGCGGAGCTGCTGCTGCACTTCCTTGTCCTTTTCCGTCAAAAGCAGGCCCTTGGCGGCACAAACTAACTGTGCGCACACCACAAGCAGCAGCAGCAGCAGCAGCAGCAGCAGCAGCAGCAGCAGTTCACCCCTGGAGCGAAGCTCGCTGCGCATGCATCTTGATCTCCCTGCGCATTTCAGTTTTCTTTTTTGACAAAAGAAGAAAAATGAAGCAGCAAAAAGCCCGTAGAAAGCAGCAGAAGCAAAAACAAAAATGCCACAGGGAAGCAGCAGCGAGGCCATAGGCGCAGCCAAAAGAAAAGAAGAAAAACCAAAAGAAAAGAAAAATAAATAAAAAGAAAAGAAAATGGAAATAAAAGAAAGCGAAAACCAAAATAAAAAGGAGAGAGAAGAAACGGAAAACAAAGAAGGGACCAAAAGAAAAGAAAAAGAGAACCGAGAGAAAAAAAAGAGAACTAAAAGAGAAAAAGGAGAATTGAAAGACAAGCAAGAGAGACAAAAGAAATAAAGAACTAAAATGCAATAAAAGCGAATCAAAAGAATAGAAAAAAAGATCGAAAAGAAATGACGAGAAAACGAAAAGAAGTAAAGAAGCGGCAGAAAGTGGCAAAAAGAAATGAAAATAAGAAAGAAAAAAGAAACGGAATAAAATTCTGTTTCCTTCTTTAGTTGAAAAAGTGGAAATGAGAATAAAAAAGAAAAGGAAACAAAAGAAAGTTGAAAAACAGGAAACGAAAACAAAAGAGAACAAACAAAACAATGTTAAAAAAGCAGAAACGAAAGCAAAAAGGAGAAAAAGAAGCTGCTTTCTTTGCTTTTTATTTTAGAAATGAAATTAAAAAATGTAAAAAGAGGAAACGAAATTGAATTAAAAACATACAACAAAACAAAACATGGAAAAATCGAAAATTCACCAATGCTTCTCGAGAAAGAACTCCGGAATTTGCACTGAGGTGCGGCGAAA